AATTACCTGCTTGAGCTGAAAGGCTGGAAGGGAGAATTTGGCATTCAGGGGAAGTATGCTTCACTTTTCTGTGTACTCATCATTCCACCCTCAGAGACCACTTCGCTATCAGCAGGTAGTATCTGTGCCTTTGGCAAGCCCTTCAGGGTTTTCAGCTGACAACTCTGTACCTTCCTTAACATTATGGGAGTAAACAGGCTTATTTGGGGTTTTCTGTAGCTAGCTGCTCTGAACCACGCTTAATGCCTGCTCTGTTTTTGTTTTATCACAGCTTGGCACTGCTTTTCTTCTCTGTTGCTGAAATAATTTCTCAATTTTGTTTCCAGTTGGAAGGGATACGAGTTGCCACTGCTCAACGACTTCTCCGGATGTTACAGATCTGTGCTGGTCATGTACCAGGAGTTTCTGCTTTGTGCTTTAACTTTCTGTTGAGGAACTCTGACTAGCTGCACATTGTGAGAATTGAGTCACATTCATCAGTTTTTTCACTTCAGGCATTCAAGTGGCTGCAGTTGGAATCACATTGGGAAGCTTTTTTGCCTAACTTGTCATGACCACTCATCCAGAGCTGTTCCTAGTTGCTAATCTCTCAAGAAAAGCTTGATTCCTATTCAGTGGATAATGTAGAGGTGCTGAGGGGAGGGCAGTTTTAGTTGGGGACTGCTATCTGTTACTGTATTTCAATCCCATTTCATGGTCAAGTTTGAGTTTCACCCACTTTGCCAGTGGCCAGGAGCTATGTGTTATACTGAGAGAATATCAGAAAAACACGCTGCTATCCCAAATGCCGAATACCTCACTGAGTGTCTTAGTTTCCCAAAGTACTAGAGAAGAGGCAGCAAGCTCCTGCTTCCTTCGAGTTGAAATATAGCACCTTGGACTAGCACGAAACCTGGCTGCCTGGTTTTGTCTCCCCACCAAGAGAATAATGGAGAAGGAAGGTTGTTCTGCATCTTCTAGATAGACTGCAGCTGGCAGTTAGTGATCCAGCTCTGTTAGTGATCCAGCTGTGTGAACATCTGCCCAGTGAAGGGCTCCATGCCTGATACTTTACTGGGGAGGAAGGGACTAAAGAAGATAATCAAGTACTTTAGCTTTCTTATAGATACTTAAAGAAAAAGGCTCCATCTATCAAACCCAGGATAACAAGCAACCCCAGTTTGTCAAGATCAAGATAACCATATTCTAACTGCAGTTCAGTAGTTTGTTATGGAGCTGTAAATTAATAAAATGTGTAATATTTAATAATTAGCTGTATGCTTTTTGCTCAGGTATGCGGCACAGGCTTTGAAGACCTATGAACACTTGCCCATGTTTTCCCTGGCAGGGAGGCCGATCCTTGCTTGCAGCTTGGACTTTCAGTCAGTTGGTGGGCTGCAGTCACGGCTTCAGCCACGGGGTGGTGGCAAAAGCTTTTCAAATACAAATCTCCGTGTACACCCACTTGAGCCACCTTCCAGAATACAATGTTTCTTGAAACGCTGGGATGTTTCTTACCCAGAATTGCATGCCAGGTAGAAATGAGGCCCGGAGAGAATGTGTTAAGCTCCCTCCTGGTTTAATTTATTTAATCCCTAATAGTCTGCTTTAATGTAGCTAGGTGCAGAGCTCTAGCTGTGTGTGCTGTTTCACTTAACTTGTTTCTGACATCTGTCTGTGAGCAGGAAAAAGCAGAAAGCAGCACTGCAGGCTTAATCAGCTGTGAGTGTTGGCAGTCCTTGTAAAGACAGCTCAGCAAGGCACAAAGCCTGTATCCTTGCTCAGAGGACACATAAATCCCAGCTCCAGTTGTATTGTTGCTGGCGGGGGAGGGCTAGGTTGTTTGTCAGCTGGAACAAAAGGAGCTAAACCATTCAGCTGTGTTATGGTGCCCAAAAGGGCTGGACTGGCTAAAACCCAAAGGAGAAAGAAATATGCGAACTCTCCTGGCTGTAGGAAGGATCGGAAGCTTAATGGGCATGCCCTACTTTCAGCTAGCTTTGTGATCCTGAAGGTACTAGCCAGGACTTGGCCACCAGAGAGAGGCAATCATGCTGAGAGACAAGTTTCTCTGTTGGTTATGCTGTCTCAGCCTCGCTCTCACTTTGGGTCCCTGAAAATAAATGAGACCATGGTTTAGAACAGACTGGTTTCGATCTGCTCTCGATGTGCAGGTGCAATCTGGGGGAGGGAAGGAAGGGCTGCGGCATGAAATGAGCCAGTCTCTCATCTCCTCCGCAGCTGCTGTAAGGTAAGGAGACTCTTCAGTCTCCTAGGTTGCTCCCCGGTTGCCTCTAATCACTACTGGACTGGAATAAAACCCCTTTGGCCTCGAGTAATTTTGCTGTGCTTTCTTGAATGGTGAAAATGAAACTTTCTTTGGTTCACGCAGACTGCTTTGTAGCAACCCACACGTGCTACTGACCATTCCTGAACCTTCAAATGTAAGGTTGGGGTTTTTTCCACCGCTGTATTTCAGATGTGGTATTTCTTTCTTTCTACTACTTTCAAAGAAGAAAGATTATGTTTGTACCACTTCCCACAGGTGGCCAATCCCAGCTGGTACAAAATAAAATCTAGTTCCTTACGAGCAGCATCTCACTTCACCTTGGGGCAAATATTTTTCATGCTCTTAGGAAAAAGTCTTCACTAGAAGTGGCAGGGGAAGTGGTGCATATCTAAGAATCTGACACAATGTCTCAGTTCCATCATGTTTTACAACTGAAAGTAGTTGGGACACATCTAAAGCTACAGCATCAACTATGTAAATACATCTAGGAACTGTCAGCTATTAGTTTAGACAGGCTGTAACACTGCCCCTACCAGAAAGGACAAGGCATCCGAGGATATCTTTCATCTGGATGGAGTAGCCGGGGCTAACATTTGATAAAGGCATTGTGAAAGTAGTACTTGGATTGGGATCAGAGGCATATAAAGGCCTGAAGCTGAACTAGGGCTAGTGACTGTTGTGTTTAAACATTGAGAAAGAGCTTGCCAAGGTGGCTGAAATCTAAACTAACATATTTTGGAGTTAACTTGCTTTCTCTTCCTCTCTATTGCCTCAGCTCCCTATCTCTGGGGAGATTTTCAAAGAGAAATCCCCTTCTCTGTGGCAAGAGCATTCGTGAGCATTCCTGATTTGACTGTTTCTGTTTGTGGATGTGGTTTTGTTTGTCAGCAACATTAGTGTAAAAGCAGTATAATTAGTACAGAAGACCTTGCACAATTGCACTAGTGTAAGCTTCAGTCGTGCAGTGCTTCTTTTGGGGAGGGGGGGTAGAACTGATTGAGGCTGTAATAGGGTCAGATACATCAGGTTGACCGCAGGATTTTGCCTTCAGCCTAGTCACTAAAAGAAGATTCTGTATCCTCAGCCTGCTAGCCGAGCTGCTCTGTGAGAGATTTCAGCCCGCATCAGCATGGTTGGCATTGCCTCTTGGGACTATAGCTCTCTGCTAGCCCAGGTTTTCCAAGGGAAGGGGTTTTTCTTGCTGGCTTTGCCACACCAGCAGTTAAATCAGACCAACTCTTAGGTGTGATAAGACATGGTATGCTTGGTCTACACTAGCAGGAGAGAAAGTCTGTGTACTGATATAGTTCCTGTAGTAAAAGATCTCAGTTCTTGAACAAAGATCAGAGATAAATTCAGCCCTGGGGACTTATCTTTCCCTCCAAACCTTGAAACTTGTGGTAGAGGTTTAAATTCAAGGCCACCTCTAGTATTTGCTTTGGGCACTGATTAAAACTGGATACCTCTGCTTGCCAAGACCTGTAGTTGGAAGGGGCTGGCTGGGTTAGGTCAGCTGTGGCACTCGGCAGCTGTGCTCATGCTGTAAGAGCTGCTTGGTAGCTCTCGCCTGCTGCTCTGTGGACAGTGGTCATAAAGAGACTTCTGCTGCCTGGAGCTGCCCTACATAGCTCTGGCAGAGGTACCTGCTCTGCTGGAAAAAGCAAGGGAGACACTTTCTCCTTTGGGATTTAACTTGTCTTGTTTTTCAGGAGCACTGGGCTTTGCTCTGGCCAGATTCCAGCTGCTACATATCCATTCAGCTGGCCCAGATCCCCTGGCAGTCTCCTCTGAGCGTTCTCCACTTCCCACCCCAAGCTGGTGTGCAGCCTTGCTGTGGGCTGCTGAACAACTGCCACTTTCCATTCAGTGACCAGCTGTCCTTCACTGGTGGGGAAAAGTGATTTATATGCAAGAGAAAGCAATTGCTGGCACAGCCCAGAGCTGGGAGCCAGAAGTGCTGGGCTCGTGTCACCTCTGTGGCTGATTTCTTGCATGACCCTAGGCACACGGGTTAAAACTCAATGGGCCTCGCTTGCTCTACCTCTATAGCAGGATCTGCCTCTGCTGGAGGGGTGTGATGAGGGCAAATTGACATTGCTTTGGGGTCACAGATCTGGTATTGGGTGGAAATGTTTGGAAGAGACTTAACGAGCAGAGTGTGATTTTTACCTGTGTTCTGGGGGAAGGAGGGTTTGGTGGGACCTGCCTGCCAGGCACCTCCTGAGACCAGCCGTGTTTTGTGCTGCTTACCTGCCTGCCTGCTGCAGGGAGGCTGCCTGGAACTGGGCTGCGGTCCCGCTCATGAGGCGTTGCGGCATGGTTGGGTTTTGTTATGAACTGGAACAAAATCACCCTCTGAAACGCTGAAATTCCCCGCACAGTTCAATTATCCTTGAATTGGCCGGTGGGAGAAATCAAAGTCTCTGGATCTCTTCCTCACCGTTAAAATATTAATAGGGCACAGCAATGCTGAGCAGGATGGCATCCCCTCGGGTCAGCTCTGTGCAGGGGGGGCTGCCTTGGCCGTGGAGAACCGGTGTGGTGCGAGAGAGAGGTTGGGCTTAGGGGACTCAGGAGTGATGTGACTCACTCTGACTCCTTGGCAGCCGAGCAGCGTGA